CTCCCCCTCCCCCCAGCTCAGTGCCGAGGCGCGAGGCAACCTCAAGGAGAAGGCAGAGGAGCAGTCATAAGAAAGGGAGTGAAGCACAGGACGGGCGGGCCAGGCTCCCTTACGAGTGTGCTGGCGTGTGTGTTGGTGTGTGAATGTGTGTGTTTTTGTGTCTGCGTCGGTCTGTGTGTTTGTGTGTCGCTCACTCCTCTGAGCGCGCGCGCCCAGGCAGGTGCTTAAACACATCCGCACCTTCATTGCTCAGCAGGGCGAGAGGGAAGAGATGGAGAGAGAGAGGGAGACAGAGAGGGAGACAGAGAGGGAGAGAGAGAGGGAGAGAGCAAAGAAGCAAAACTGCCGGCGGCGTTCCCGTCGTTGCCGTAAGCAAGTGAGAGAGAGCGGGGGCGCGGCGGGCGCAGTCGCCGTCTCGCGGGACCCGTCCATCAAATCATTGCTGCCCCGACTCCCCCGTGCCGTCTGCCCCGCTCTGCTCTCCTCTCAGTAGTGGTCGGGTCTGCCGTCTACCCTTCCCAGTAGCTGAACCTGCGCTTTACTGTCTCATTGGGAGTTCGCACCTGGGAAAAATAATTTTACAACACGTTTTTAGCAGAAAATATTAAAATCAGCATACTACAGTTCGCTTAGTTGGGCAGTGCTTTAGCTCAGAAGTGAAAAGATGTGTGTGTGTGTGTGTGTGTGTGTGTGTGTGCGCGCGCGCGCGCGCGTGTGTGTGTGTGTGTGTGTGTGTGTGTCACTGTATGTGTACCGCACTCCATCTCATGCACTGCAAAATGCTTCCAAAGAATGGGTTCGTATTGCAAACTATTTTCTTTATTGCAGCTTGCAAAGAATTTTCAAGCATTGTAATACGAACTAGATTTTCGCATGCTTGCTAACTACAACTAATTTTTTGCAATGCAAACACATTGTTTGCAGGGATTCCGACAGCTTGCAAATAAATTCTTTGCATTACGAATTAATTCTTTGCAATACAAAGCTTGCAAATTCTTTGCAACATTGCAATGAATATTGATTGCAAGCATTTTACTGTGCATATTCGAGGTATGACCACCAAAATATTGTCAGGCTTCTTGTCTCACCGCCACGACAAGACTCGAAGCCACCTCTCCAACCGACCTCTCGGATGTCGCAACTGTAAACGCTCGCTAACGGTCTCTCTCTCTCTCTCTCTCTCTCTCTCTCTCTCTCTCTCTCTCTCTCTCTC